TCCAGGCTGTACAGGCCACAGGGGCCTAGGCTCAGGGCACCAGGCCCAGCCCAACACAGAAACCAACTGCTGCCGGCCTTCTGCCCACTGCCCAGTCTTAAAGTGATGGCTCCTATGAGAATGTTGTCCTATTCAAATATTTTAAAAGTATGGCTCTTCTTCCTGGAAAATGCATAAACATAGCATTCCATGTACAATTTCACAGAATTCTGAAGCTCTACTAGGGACTCCAGGTGATGACACCTTACATAAGGTGAAGAGGAAAAGTGACTGAATTCTAGATCTGGTCATTTCCTTGGGAACCTCTCCTGCCCTCCCCACCCCGAGCAGCAAGCCCCAATGCCTCACCTTCTTTGTCTGTCAGCACCTCCATGCGCCCGCTGAACATGGCCTTGAGCATGGTGTCGTGGCGGGTCAGGGCCCGCACGGTGGTATAGTACAGAGAGCCGCCCACGTTGAGCTGGACGTACTTGTTGCCCAGCCCTCCTCCCTTGAATCCACTGAGCTTGGGCTTGGCCCCTGAGGCCGGGCACAGGCAGGTGTCCCCCGACATCTCCCGCTGCAGGTAGATCACCACACGGCAGGAGGTAGGCTTGGAAGGCTCCGCCGTGGTGGAAAGGGTCACGAGTGAGTGGCCAGTGGAGGCCAGAGCCTCATACTCTCAGTGCTGGACATGGGAAACGGGAGAGAAGACAAGAGTCAGCTGAGAGAGCCCTTAGACCAAGAGGAGACAATAGCGGAAACATGACCGTACTCATTCTCTCCTTGACAAGCCCAAGCACTGCTCCCTGGCAGAGGCTAAGTCCCTGCCATTTTGCTTTCTTTTTTTTTTTCTTAGAGACAGGGTCTCACTCTGTCACCCAGGCTGGAGTGCAGAGGCGCCATCTTGGCTCACTGCAACCTTTGCCTCCCAGGCTCAAGTGATCCTCCCACCTCAGCCTCCTGAGTAGCTGGGACCACAGATGCGCACCACCACACCCAGCTAATTTTTTTTTCTTTCTTTTTTTGGTAGAGACAGGATTTTACCATGTTGCCCAGGCTGGTCTCGAACTCCTCAGCGCAGGCGATCCGCCCACCTCAGTCTCCCAAAGTGCTGGGATCATAAGCGTGAATCACCGTGTCTGGCCTCCCTGCCATTTTTACTATAGCAGGAACCAGGGCTGGAGGCAGTCTCCCAGACTCCTGCCCTGGTCCCCTCATCAGCCTCCCTGAGACTCAGCTCTATTCAGGGCCTCAAGGAAGACAAGCAAACCCATGGAACCAGTCAGAGAGGGCCAGAGGAACAGATCACCCTAGAGATCTACCAGTCACATTCCAGTTACTTTCTTGTCAAGGTTCCCAGGATCCCAGACTTCCAGCCAAGCCTACTGGGAATCCAGCTAGCCTAGGAGTTTCCCAGGAGCCAGAGGGACAGGACGCACTTCCTTTCTAAAAATTCCAGCCTCAAGAGCAGCCTGTGCCAGTGTTTATTTTGAGCACCACCGAGAGTCTGGCTTCAGGAAGGAAAGTAAAAGCTTCAGGAGAGAATTGAGTAAGCCAGGGTGGGGGGTGCTGGCCAGTGTTCTTGGCGCAGGTTACCTGGGCTTCGGCTGGGGCTTCCTGACCTTCCCCTTTCTTGGCACCAGGCTTGTCCCAAGTTCCTGAAATTGTCACCATTTTTCAGGGAAGAACAGCTATAGGGTGGCTGTTTTCCTTTCTTTTTCCTGAGAGGGAGCCCAGCCCTACTGTCCTCTTCTCTCCCAATAAGAATGGGAGAAGAAAGGACTAGAAAAGATCAGAGGATAAATCTAAAAACAATGAGGTAAGCTGTGTGCTGCCACCTGCCTGTACTCCTGGCTACTCAGTAGGCTGAGGTGGGAGGATCTCTTGAGCCTGGTAGTCAAGACGAGCCTGGGCAACATAGCAAGACCCCATCTCTTGGCATTTAATATATATTAGCTCATTTAACTAATTCAGCAATTAAACTACTGAATGCCTACTATGTTAAGCAATAGGGAACAATGAAAAAACATTGTCTTTGCCTTCAAACAGTTCAAAGGAGCATCATAACAGGAATTTTTAAAAAGAGAGAGAGCTAGCATTTATTGTACCCCTATGTGCCAGGCACTGGGTACTCAGAAGAGAACAAATATAGAAAGTCATGTCCACATGGAGCTTACATTCTAGTGGAAGGAAATAGACTATAAACAAGAACTTGAATAAATAAACATAATTCCAGAACCTGATAAATGCAATAAAGATAATAAAACAGTGATATGAGAGTGATTAGGGAGAGGCACTAATTTAGACAGAGGGACAGGGTAAGCATCTTTGGGAAGGTGACATTTCAGCTAAGGTTTGAAGAGAGCATTCTACACAGATGGAAGAGTAAGTGCAAAGTTCCTGTTAGAAACAAGTTTTAGGGGCCGGGTATGGTGGCTCACACCTGTAATCCCAGCACTTTAGGAGGCTGAAGTGGGTGGATTGCTTGAGCCCAGGAGTTCAAGACCAGTCTGGGCAACAGTGAGAGTTTGTCTCTACAAATGAAAAAAAATTAGCCAGATATGGTGGCTCATGCCTGTGGTCCCAGCTGCTTGGGAGGCTGAGGTGGGACGATTGCTTGAGCCTGGGCAGGTCAGCCTGGGTGACAGGGAAATCTCGTCTCAACAACAACAAAATAAAAACAAGTTTTAGGATCAGAAATAAGGTCATAATGGCTGGTGCACAGACAGTAGGGGGAAGTTGGTTTGATGTCAAGTCAGGGAAGGCAGGGGTTAGATGATGACAAAGTGTGGATTTCATACTAATTGCTATTACATATATA